CTCCAACACCAGTGGACTAGGGTCCATCCTCCAACATCAGTGGACCAGGGTCCATCCTCCAACACCCAGGTGGACTAGGCGTCCATCTCCAACACCAGTGGACTAGGGTCCATCCTCCAACACGTGGACTAGGGTCATCTTCCACATCCAGTGGACTAAGGGTCCATTCTCCAACGCCAGTGGACTAGGGTCCATCCTCCAACACCAGGTGGACCAGGGTCCATCTCCAACACAGTGGGACCAGGGTCCATCCTCCAACACCAGTGGACTGACGGTCATCCTCCAAACACCAGTGTGACTAGGGTCCTTTCTCCAACACAGTGGACTAGGGTCCTACCTCCAACACAGTGGACCAGGGTCATCCTCCAACACCGGTGAGACTATGGTCCTTCCTCCAACATGTGGACTAGGGGTCCTTCCTCCAACCCAGTGGATAGGGTCCTTCCTCCAACACCAGTGGACTAGGGTCTTCCCCCCACACCAGGTGGACCAGGGGTCCATCTCCAACACAGTGGGACTAGGGTCCATCCTCCAACACCGTGGACTAGGGTCCTTCCTTCCAACACCGTGAGACTAGGGTCCTTCCTCCAACACCAGTGATAGGGTCATCCTCCAACACTAGTTGGACTATGGGGCCTTCTCCAAAAGTAGTGGACTAGGGGCTTCTCAACACCAGTGGACCTTAGGGCCATCCTCAACATCAGTGGAACCAGGGTCCATCCTCCAACACCAGTGGACTAGGGTCCATCCTCCAACACCAGTGGACTAGGGTCCATCCTCCAACACCAGTGGACCAGGGTCCATCCTCCAACACCAGTGGACCAGGGTCCATCCTCCAACACCAGTGGACTAGGGTCCATCCTCCAACACCAGTGGACCAGGGTCCATCCTCCAACACCAGTGGACCAGGGTCCATCCTCCAACACCAGTGGACCAGGGTCCATCCTCCAACACCAGTGGACCAGGGTTCATCCTCCAACACCAGTGGACTAGGGTCCTTCCTCCAACACCAGTGGACTTGGGTCCTTCCTCCAACACCAGTGGACTAGGGTCCATCCTCCAACACCAGTGGACTAGGGTCCTTCCTCCTACACGCAGTGGATAGCGGTCCTTACTCCAACAACAGTGGACTTAGGGTCTTCCTCCAACACCATGTGGACTAGGGTCCTACCTCCAAACACAGTGGACCAGGGTCCATCCTCCAACACCAGTGGACTAGGGTCCTTCCTCCAACACCAGTGGACTAGGGTCCTTCCTCCAACACCAGTGGACTAGGGTCCATCCTCCAACACTAGTGGACTAGGGTCCTTCCTCCAACACCAGTGGACTAGGGTCCTTCCTCCAACACCAGTGGACTAGGGTCCATCCTCCAACATCAGTGGACCAGGGTCCATCCTCCAACACCAGTGGACTAGGGTCCATCCTCCAACACCAGTGGACTAATGTCCATCCTCCAACACAAGTGGACTAGGGTCCATCCTCCAACACCAGTGGACTAGGGTCCATCCTCCAACACCAGTGGACTAGGGTCCATCCTCCAACACCAGTGGACCAGGGTCCATCCTCCAACACCAGTGGACCAGGGTCCATCCTCCAACACCAGTGGACTAGGGTCCATCCTCCAACACCAGTGGACTAGGGTCCTTCCTCCAACACCAGTGGACTAGGGTCCTTCCTCCAACACCAGTGGACCAGGGTCCATCACTCCACTCCAGGGGACTTGGGTCCTTCCTCCAACAGGACTAGGGTCCTTACCTCCAACACCAGGGGTCTAGGGTCCACTCCAACACCAGTGGGATAGGGTCCTTCCTCCAACACCAGTGGCCAGGAGTCCGTCCTCCAACATCAGTTGGACTAGTGTCCATCCTCCAACACCAGTGGACTAGGGTCCTTCCTCCCAACACCCGGGGGGACTTAGGGTCCTTCCTCCCAACACCAGTGGACTAGGGTTCCATCCTCCAGCACTAGTGGACTAGGGTCCTTCCTCCAACACCAGTGGACTAGGTCCATCCTTCCAACATCAGTGCGACCAGGGTCCATCCTCCAACACCAGTGGGACTAGGGTCCATCCTCCAACACCAGTGGACTAGGGTCCATCTCAACACCAGTGGCTAGGGTCCTTCTCCAACACCTGGACTAGGGTCCTCCTCCAACACCAGTGGAATAGGGTCCATCTCCACCACAGTGGACCAGGGTCCATCCTCCAACACCAGTGGACTAGGGTCCATCCTCCAACACCAGTGGACCAGGGTCCATCCTCCAACACCAGTGGACTAGGGTCCATCCTCCAACACCAGTGGACTTAAGGTCCTCCCCAAACAGTGGACTAGGGTCCTTCCTCCAACACCAGTGAACTAGGGTCCTTCCTCCAACACCAGTGGACTAGGGACCATCCTCCAACACCAGTGGACCAGGGTCCATCCTCCAACACCAGTGGACTAGGGTCCAGCCTCCAACACTAGTGGACCAGGGTCCATCCTCCAACACCAGTGGACTAGTGTCCATCCTCCAACACCAGTGGACTAGGGTCCATCCTCCAACATCAGTGGACCAGGGTCCATCCAACACCAGTGGACCAGGGTCCATCCTCCAGCACCAGTGGACCAGGGTCCATCCTCCAACACCAGTGGACTAGGGTCCATCCTCCAACACCAGTGGACTAGGGTCCATCCTCCAACACCATTCCTAATTTCATAACAAAGCCGGTATAAAACTAGTTTCATAACATTCTAGCTACATTCCTGGTTCTGTAACATACTAGATACATTCCTAGTTTCATAATATAATAGGTACATTCCTACTAGTTTCACAAGACAAGGTTCACTTCTAGTTTCACAATAGACTAGGTTCACTCCTAGTTACAAGACTAGGTTCACTCCATTTCACAAGTGCATTCAATGATTTCACAATAATTCTTTTATAAATGACAAACTGGTGTGCCTCTGGCTTGACATTAAACTGCACTCCTGGCTTGACATTAAACTGCACTCCTGGCGTGACATTAAACTGCAGTCCTGGCTTGGACATTAAAAACTGCACTCCTGGCTTGACATTAAACTGCACTCCTGGCTTGACATTAAACTGCACTCCTGGCTTGACATTAAACTGCACTCCTGGCGTGACATTAAACTGCATTCCTGGCTTTTCAGCAAGTAATCTTGTACAAAACACTACAAAATATTTTTCTATTCCGCACAATCTTGCACTGCAGCTTAGCAACCGCAAATGTTGAATAAGCATGTTGAACGTTCCAGCCCATAAAACTGAACTCCATGAAAAATATATCTGAAGCATTAGATGTACGTCTTTATACCACTAGGTAACTCTTCCGCCTCATGATAGACAAGAGTATCGAGCCTTCACCACTTCCCACATTTAATATTTTAAACACAAACTGATACAATAATTTAGGAATTACCATTAAAGTTACAACACGTACGAATTTCAAACAGGAAGTAGGCTAAACTTGCTAAAAAGAGATCAGCGAGTCAATTGCTCCATCATTGCGTATAAAAAAATACCTAGTTTTGGTAGCCTCATGCACCATGTACATTGAAAATACTTCTAAAATTCTGTATTTGCATTTAAAAAACTTACCTGGAGTTAACTCTGTCAAGATGCCATTGAAATGTGTGGACATAAGTTACCTGTCAAGTTGATTACCTGAGACACACATCTGTATAAAACAATCTAAGTGGGAAAAAAAAAAAAAGGTTTAATTTACAAGTGGATACAACGTACCTGTAATAAAATCCATACGAAACAGGGTATCAATTTCAACCATTTCATTCACTGAATACGTAATAAAAAAAAAAAAAAAACTCGGTGATTGTTGTATCGAAGTGTTACAGATTGTGGTAGTGGTGGTTACTGCAGTGTTGACTGGTGGTCTTTAAGTACCGGGTTAATTACAGAGCAACGTAAATTTTTGAAAAAGAACATACGACAAACATTAAACTGCATTAATACACCAATGTAAATTAAAAAAATTTAAAAGTACATATAAAACATTAGGTAAACATAAGGTAAATAAGAGATAAAACATTAGAAGATATTAAACATTAGAAAACATAAAACATTAGAAAGTATTTAACAGGATATAAAATATGAGAAAACAAATATATAAAACATTAGGATATAAACATAAGACAAAACATGAGAAGCTATAAAACATTAAAATGTAAAACAAGTATAAAACATTCTAAGATAAAACAAAAAATGTTATAAATATAAAACATTAGGAATTATAAATACAAAACATTAGAATATAAAACATTAGAAAATATAAACATCAGAATGCATAAAACATTGGGTATAAAACATTAGAAATGAAACATTAAAATATAAAACATTAGATGGTATAAAACATTAAAATATAAAACAGAAGGTATAAAGCAAACATCAGAAGATATAAAAGATGAGAAGATATAAAACATGAGATATGAAACATCAGAAGATATAAAACATCAGAAGATATAAAACATTAGATGTAAAACATTATAAGGTATAAAACACTGGGCAGTATAAAGCAGTTTAAAACAATATGGTTGGCAGTTTAAATAAATTCAAGTGGCAGTTTCATACATTAAGCAGGACAGTACTACCTTGGGTGACAGTAGCCTCAGGCTGGTAGTGCCCCAGTGCTACCCAGGCTGGTAGTGCCCAAGTGCTACCCAGGCTGGTAGTGCCCAAGTGCTACCCAGACTGATAGTGCCCAAGTGCTACCCAGGCTGATAGTGCCCAAGTGCTACCCAGGCTGGTAGTGCCCCAGTGCTACCCAGGCTGATAGTGCCCCAGTGCTACCCAGGCTGAGTGCCCAAGTGCTACCCAGGCAGATAGTGCCCAAGTGCTACCCAGGCAGATAGTGCCCAAGTGCTACCCAGGGATAGTGCCCAAGTGCTACCCAGGCTGATAGTGCCCAAGTGCTACCAGGCTGATAGTGCCAAGTGCTACCCAGACAGATAGTGCCCAAGTGCTACCCCGGCGATAGTGCCAAGTGCTACCCAGGCAGATAGTGCCCAAGTGCTACCCAGGCAGATAGTGCCCAAGTGCTACCCAGGCAGATAGTGCCCAAGTGCTACCCAGGCTGATAGTGCCCAAGTGCTACCCAGGCTGATAGTGCCCAAGTGCTACCCAGGCAGATAGTGCCCAAGTGCTACCCAGGCAGTGCCCAAGTGCTACCCAGGCAGATAGTGCCCCAGTGCTACCCAGGCAGATAGTGCCCCAGTGCTACCCAGGCTGATAACCCAAGCACTACCCAGGCTGTTAGTAGCCCCCAGGTATGAACAGCCCAGGTGAGCAGCACCCAGGTATAAATAGCCCACGTATGAGCAGCACCCAGGTATAAACAACCCAGGTATGAGCAGCACCCAGGTGTAGCATCCTGGTATGAGCAACACTCACACCTCTTATTAAACAAACATGTTCCCAAAATATAAATCTTATAAACATCAGTTTAATATAAAATAAATATAACAGAAGGTAAAGTACATAGCAAGGAATACATGAAATATTAATTTACTTCATGTTAGTTGTCCTGGTTTAACTAACTACTTGCCCAATTTAAGTGTCATGAGGTTACTGCTGAAATCATTCAGGGGTTGAGAAGTTCAAACATCTTGCTGGGGTTGAGAAGTTCAAACATCTTGCTGGGGTTGAGAAGTTCAAACATCTTGCTGGGGTTGTGAAGTTCAAACATCTTGCTAGGGTTGTGAAGTTCAAACATCTTGCTGGGGTTGTGAAGTTCAAACATCTTGCTGGGGTTGTGAAGTTCAAACATCTTGCTGGGGTTGTGAAGTTCAAACATCTTGCTGGGGTTGTGAAGTTCAGATTTCTGTAATGATAAAATGCCCATTTCACTTGACTGTAATATGAAGCCTACCAAAAGGTAAATATTGGAAATACATAAGTAACACGGATTTGGGGCCCAGTCCCTGGATCCATTACATACCTCTAATCTGTAAATACCTTTGTAACTTGTCATGATTGTGACTAGACCTACCCAGAGTTCATTACCTTTGTAATTTGTGAGTTCATTACCTTTGTAATTTGTGAGTTCATTACCTTTGTAAATTGTGAATTCATTACCTCTGTAACTTGCTCAGCTATCAAAACTTTGGAGTCCAGTCCCTGGACCAATTATGTACCTCTAATCTTTTGACTACCGCCCACAGGATGGGTATGGGGTGCATAATAAACATATTAAACTAACTAAAACTTGTCAATGACACCAGTGAGAATATCACAGGAAAGTGCTAAACTCATGAGGTTCACACAGCACCTGGGGAATGAGAGGTAATCTGGTTTGAGCTAAGGGCAGTTATCTATAATTCTCTGGATCAAGAGCTTCACACTTGGGAATTATTATAATGGGGGAGAGCTAAACCCGTAAGATTATACAGCACGTGTGGGGGGGGGCATGGAAGGTATTCAGTCAGTTCAGGGAACTGGAGCACAGATCCAATTCACTAGACCAAGAGCCTCGTACCAGCATCAAGGGGTGATATTAGAGGAGTGATGTTCCACCACAAAGTAACATGGTCAATAGTCCATCATGATTCCTAACACCCTCACCATCATGACTTAATTCACCATCACTACTAGGAAATGAATGATGATTAAAGTGTTTCTTCTTTTCTGGGTCACTACCTCAGTGGCAAACGGCCGATGTGTTAACAAAAAAGGGGGGGGGGATTTTATTATAATCAAAAAGAAGCGCTAAGCCACAAGGGCTATAAAGGGAATTTTAAATACAAAATACTGTATAAATTTTGAAGCAGCATATTTTTTAATGGATTTTTAATAGCCTAATTAAAACAAATAAGGAAAAAAAGTGGCTTCAGTCAATATGTTCTGGATTTTAAAATGCACTGTGGAAATACACTAATTACTCTAGTTACTTTTATCAAGTTTAAAGTCTACTACATGAGGGTTTAATTAAGTTTGCATGTAACCTGTTGACTGTCAAGAATACTTGACAACCATCATAGAGATTGAAATTCAACATTTATATATAACCCTCTATATATAAAGTCCTTTCTAAAAGTTTCTCTTATACGCTTAAAGGTATATTTTTCGAATTTAATGTAAAAATTATGTACCAAAAGAACCTTAGAAAACACCTTTTATTGTACAGCAATAAAGGAATGGAACAGACTGCCTGCACATGTCAAAGCCACTCATAGCATGAACCAGTTCAAGAAGACTGCCAAAAGGTGTCTGATGAATGTAGCTACAGAAAAGAGGGGAATGATTTTTTATTTTTTAGCTAACACACGTGTAATTTTACCTTATTCTTAGTAATGAACCTCGTATTGTAGATAGTCTTAATGACCCTTGTGTAGTAGATATTCTTTTAAGTATGATAATAAGATGTTGCCTCGGGAGACGGCAGACTTGTTGAGGAGAAAAAAAAAATGTTATCTTCATTATAGAATAATAAGACATAACCTTAATATTATAATAAAGGTAAAAGGACCCCATGGAAATAAGTCACTGACTTTTTTGGGTTATCACAGGTTCTCTACACATATGCTGTTATGTATGATAATCTAGGTAACTATTTGTGTATACCTGAATAAACTTACTAACTTACCTAACCTTATTATAACAAGCGCAATTTAATTTAGCAAGTTTACAATAATTTAATAAACAATGAAATATTTTTTCATTAGGTTCAGAATGATTTTTGCGAAATTATTGAATATACAAATTTTTGCTTGCCTTATTCAGCAAGAAGAGCGTCATTATTTAAGCCAAAAATCACAAGTTTTACCTATTCGGCATGACATACTTATACACACACACATATACGCATCTCCACGGGGAAGTGTGTAAGCTGTGCATGTCTTAAGAGGAGAGTAAAATGCCGGGAGCAAGGGGTTAGTAACCCCTTCTTTTTAAATTTAGTAATGTATACAGGGAGCTTTCGTTTTTCTTTTTGGGGCACCACCCCGCCTCGGTGGGATACGACCAATTTGTTGAAAGAACACACACACACACACACACACACCTGGCTGTCTCCCACTGAAGCAGGATGACCCAAAAAAGAAACACTTTCACCATCATTCACAGCATCACTGTCTCCACATTAGTGCACAGATAAGACAGTTCAGATGTCATTCCAAACAGCAAATATCCCAAACCTCTTAAATTGTAGGCATTGTACTTCCACCTCCAGGACTCAAGTTCAGCTAACCTTTTTCCCTGAATACCTTCACAAACTATTACCCTGCAACTCAGTGTACACACAAAATAAAGCATCTGTTTCCACTACTCCACTATAAGGCAGATGACAAATTTTGTACCTCTATTAAACAAATGTGAATATATAACCAGGTAATCTGAGCTGTCTGACCCTTGTAGGTTTAGCGCTTCTTTTTGATTATAACTGATTATAATAAGTAGGTATTAAACCTCAGCAAACACCTCATAAATAAGTAACATATCTGGGCCACAAACACTTAATATTTGAGATACAGTGGACCCCCAGATTACATCATCATCGGATTACGTAAAATTCGGATTAAGTAAAGTTTGTGTCAAAATATTGGCTTGGTTAATGACAACTTGGTTAAAGTAGTTTGTCCCGAATGCATCCACGTGGATTGAGCAGCCCTGCCACTCCATGTACAGCCAGTGTGCCGTTCTTTACAAGCCAGTGAGAAAGATTCCACACATATGTGTGATACATTTTGTATTATTCCATTGTTTTTTGTGTTTGTAACTGCTAAATAAGCCACCATGGGTCCAAAGAAAGCTTCTAGTGCCAGCCATGTGGTAAAGAGGGTGAGAAATACTATTGAATTCAAGAAAGAGATCATTGCAAAATATGAAAGTGGAGTGAGTGTCTCCAAGCTGGCCAGGCTGTATAACAAATCCCATATAACCATCACTACTATCTTGGCCAAGAAAAAGGCAATCAAGAAAGCTGTTGTTGTGAAAGGTGCAAATATGCTCACAAAACAGATCGCAATACTCGAAGATGTGGAGAGATTGTTGTTGGTGTGGATCAACGAGAAACAATTATCAGGAGATAGTGTTTCGCAATCAACTAGACGTGAAAAAGCAAGGCAGTTGCATAATGATCTCATTAAAGAAAATGCCTGAAACTAGTGCTGATATTGATGAATTTAAGGCCAACAAAGGCTGGTTTGAGAGATTTAAGAATTGTAGTTGCATACACAGTGTGATAAGGCTGCCAGTTCTGACAAAAAAGCAGCTGAAAAATATGTGCAGGAATTTAAGGGGGCACATAGAGGCTGAACAATTAAAACCCCAACAAGTGTTCAGTTGTGATGACACAGGCCTGTTTTGGAAGAAAATGCAGGACCTACATTTCTCAGGAGGAAAAGGCACTCCCAGGACACAAGCCTATGAAATACAGGCTAACTCTCATGTTTGGTAGTAATGCTAGTGGAGATTGCAAAGTGAATCCTTTACTCGTGTATCACTCAGAAACTCCCAGTGTTTTCAAGAAAAACAGTGTTATCAATACTAAACTGTGTGTGATGTGGAGAGCAAACAGTAAGGCATGGGTCACGAGGGACATATTCTATGATTGGTTCCATGACGTGTTTGGCCCTACTGTGAAAAATACCTCCTGGAAAATAAATTGGAACTCAAGTGCCACCTGCTATTAGACAATGCTCCTGCTCATCCTCCAGACTTGGAAGACCGAATGGTGCCAGAGTTTAGTTTCATCAAAGTCAAGTTTTTGCCTCTGAACACCACTCCTTTCCTCCAGCCCATGGACCAGCAGGTCATTTCAAATTTCAAAAAACTGTACACTAAAGCAGTACATATTTTAAAAGTGCTTTGAAGTGACCTCAGACACTGAATTGACTAAGAGAGTTCTGGAAAAATCACTTCAGTATCCTCAGTTGCATAAACCTTATAGGTAAGGCTTGGGAGGAAGTGACTAGCAGGACTTTAAACTCTGCTTGGAGAAAATTGTGGCCAGAATGTGTACAAGAGGGATTTTGAATGGTTTGGGGGCTGACCCTGAGGAGCCTATGCCAGTTGTGGAATCTATTGTGGCATTGGGGAAGTCCATGGGGTTGGAGGTTAGTGGCGAGAATGTGGAAGAGTTGGTGGAGGACGACGATAAAGAGCTAACCACTACAGAGCTGCAAGAGCTTGAGGTGCAACATCAACAGACCACAGCTCAGGAATTTCCTTCAGATGAGGAGGAGGAGGAGGAGGAGGAGGAAGTTTCCTTTTTCAAAGATTAAGGACATTTGTGCTAAGTGGATTGAAGTGCAAACCTTTATGGATGAACATCACCCTGACACAGCTGTTGCAGGCCATGCTGGCAACATCTACAATGACAATGTTGTGTCCCATTTTAGGGAAATCTTAGAGATGCCAGAAACAGAGCTCTCTGGACAGATTTTTGGTGCAACAGGGGTCCAGTGACTCAAGTTGGTCCTAGTGCCATTAAACAACAAAGAAGGAATTAACCCCTGAAAAGGACTTGCTACCTGAAGTCTTTATGGAAGGGGATTCCCCTTCCAAACAATAATGCACCTCCATTCTCTCCCCTCCTCCCGTCTCATCACTCATCAATAAGTCTTCAATAAAGGTAAGTATCATTTTAGTATTGTTTATTCTACATGTCTCATTGTTTTCTGTGTAGGAAAATGTATATTTCATGTGAAAAAATTATTTTGTTTAATACTTTTGGGTGTCTGGAACAGATTAATTGGATTTCCATTATTTCTTATGGGAAAATTAATTCGGATTACAACAGATTGGCTAAAGACCCGCTCTCTGGAACAAATTAATGTCGTAACCCGGGGGTCCACTGTAAATTTAAGTTTAACAAAAAAATCT